ACAGATTGAAGACTATAGAAAAACACCTGGAAAAAGCAGGAAGCTCAAAAAAGGCCCTTAAGGAACTATTGTATAGATAATATTGGATAGATAGCTTAAACTGTAAGGAAAAAATGGTAAATAATCGAAAAGAAATCATAGATGTAGCAACCAATTTCTATAAAACACTATACAAAGCACAAGGAAACTAATCAACGCAAACGATGTTAACTCTACAAACAAAAACGGAAACATAACACCAATAACTGAAAAAGAAGTCACACAAGAAATAAAAAGGCTAAAGCTAGATAAGAGCCCAGGACCAGACGGCATTACAAATGAAGCTATAAAGGCTGCTTCGCCACTACTGACTCTCCCATTACACACTTATTTAACCTTATATTAAAAACTGCTGAAATACCATCGCAGTGGGTAGAGTCAGAAATAATTTTAATTTATAAAAAAGGTGACTCAAAAGATATTACAAACTACAGGCCTATAAGCTTCATCATCATCATCATCATTACAGTCCTTCACAAGTCCACTGCTGAACATAGGCCTCCCCCAAGTAACGCCACAAAGCACGGTCCTGAGCCACCTGCATCCATCGACTTCCTGCATGTCTTACCAGGTCGTCACTCCATCTTGTGGGGGGTCGCCCTACACTACGCCTACCGGTACGAGGCTGCCACTCGAGAACCTTTCTTCCCCATTAGTTATCGGTTCTTCGAGCTATATGGCCGGCCCATTGCCACTTCAGCTTACTAATCCGTTGGGCTATGTCGGCCACTCTGGTTTTACTGCGGATATCCTCATTTCTGAGTCTATCACGCAGAGAAACTCCGAGCATAGCCCTCTCCATAGCTCGCTGAGCGACCTTGAGCGTCCTCATACGGCCAGCAGTGAAGGACCACGTCTCACGATCCGTAAGTCATCACTGGCAACACGCACTGGTTGTACACTTTAGTTTTCAGAGATTGAGGTATACCTGACGAGAAGATGTGTCGTGATTTCCCGAACGCTGCCCAGCCGAGTTGAAGCCTAAGCCTATAAGCTTACTTCCGTGTATCTACATACTGTTTTTCTCTATAATTAACAAAAGAATAAGTATCACAATAGAAGCAAACCAACCAATAGAACAAGCAGGTTTTCGCAAGAGCTTTTCAACAATCGACCATATACATACTCTAGTACAAATAATAGAAAAATACTACGAGAAGCAAAGAACGCTCTACATCGCATATATCGTTTATAAAAAAGCTTTTGATACCGTGTCACATTTAAGCATATGGACCGCCCTGCAAGCCCAAAAAGTTGAACAAGAGTATGTAGGTATAATCAAAAACATTTAGAAAGGTAGCACAGCAAAAATAAAACTAGAACCCACTGGAATCCTACGTTCTCCATCGGAAGAGACGTGAAACAAGGCGACCCACTGTCTCTTAAATTATTTATATCTATCCTAGAGTCAATAATAAAAAGATTCATTTGGGAAAAGACAGGATTAAATATCAATGGCAAGTATTTATCCCACTTACGCTTCGCAGATGACTTAGTTCTGCTATCAGAATCTAGCACACAATTACAAAATATGATCGATTCACTAAACACAGCTAGTAAGCAGGTAGGACTAGAAATGAATCTTTCGAAAACAATGGTCATGACAAACAGTATACAGAGAAGAATATCAGTGGATAATAAAACTCTGAAATATACAGAGAAATATATATACCTTGGAAAACAAATTAGCTTCAACAGAAAACAAAATGAACTAGAAGTAGAACGAAGAGTACAAAATACTCGGAACAAGTACTGGTCCTTAAAGGAGATATTTAAAAGTAACATGCCAACAAATATCAAAACAAAAGTCATGGTGTCATGTCTTCTACCTTGTTTAACTTACGCATGTCAAACTTGGAAATTTACATCCAAATTAAAAAGGAAAATCACTACCTGCCAACGCGGAATAGAACGAAATATGCTCAACATTAAAAAGATGCAAAAAATTCGTCACACAAAATTAGAGAAACCATCAAAGCGACAGATGCTCTAACCTACGCTAAAAACAAAAATGGAAGTGAGCTGGACACGTAGCGAGGCTAAAGGACGAGAGATGGACCACCAGTGTAACAACGTGGAAGGGTCCAATCGGCAAACGTCTCAAAGGCAGACCCTACACGAGATGGGCAGACGAATTGATAAAAATAGCTGGTACCTTCTTGCCGCAAATAGCTCAAGATAGAGACACATGGAATTCTTTAGAGGAGGCCTTCACCTTCACTTGAGGAGGGGTTCATACAAACAAACTTATATATTATTATCTTTTTTAAACTTTTTCTCTATTCACTTCTTTTTTTCTAAACTATGTATGTACGTATGTCATTATTAGCATGAAATAAAAGGCTTATTATTATTATTTTTGGGGTATCTACATAATTTTCTCACCTGGTTGGGTTCTATAAATATATAATTATAAATTAAAATGAAAAGATAAATATACATAAATGTCAATAAAATAAAATAAATACAAAAACTACATAAATAAATAAGATCCAACCAGATGGGAGCCCTCGGCAGGGGGAGACCAAACGGCCGAGGGTTAGGGGGAAAGGGAAAGAAACCGGCGGACGATGCGGGCGGTATCGAGGAGCACCGCCTTCTACATTTGAGCCCGGAGCGGTCCGTCACGGAGTCCCAGTCATCTCAGATGACCCGATAGGCTGACTAGGATTAGCCCATTCGTAGAGACGACTACAGGAATAATTTCGGTCGGCATACCACCCCACATGTCGGTCACCTCGTGAGCCAGGTCCAGATATTTTGTTCGTTTATCTGTTTCGACTTTCGCGAGGTTATCGTCATACGGAATGGTGATGTCGACTAAAAATATCCTTGACTGTGCCCGGTTCATCAGCACAATATCAGGCTTATTCGCAAGAATAGTCCTGTCTGTGATGATGGCCCGGTCCCAGTAGAGCTTGGCGCGGTCATTTTCGAGCACGGCTTCCGGCAAGTACTTGTAATACGGCAATTTTCGGCCCACGAGACCGTATTTCAGAGCGAGCTCCTGGTGTAGAAATCTGGCTACTAGGTTGTGCCTGTGCAAGTACTCAGAGTTAGAAAGCGTCGAACAACCGGAGATGACATGCCTAAGTGACTCCCTGGGATGGCGACAAGCTCGACAGACGTCGACAGTGCCATCCTTTAGGATGTATCTCCGATAGTTTTTGGTCTTAATAACCTGATCCTGTATTGCACAGACAAAACCCTCGGTTTCCCCGAAGAGGTCACCGAAACGTAGCCAGCTGAGGGAGGCGGCTGTATCTACGTGAGGCTCATGTAGAGCCCTATAGTACCTCCCATGGAGCTCCTTCTCCTTCCATACGGTCTCCCGGTCGGAAATGCTCTGTACTGCCGGGTCTTGCCATTGCTCGTTGGCTAAGGGTAAGCCCTTTATCACTAGAAATGACGTCATTATAGAATGGATCATCCGATCTTGCCAGGAAGTAATCACGGAGGCTGCACACTTCGCGATTATGCATGGTAAGCGCGCTCAGGAATCCACGCCCACCATGCTTTCGCGGCAAGTACAGCCTCATTACCGACGATCTCGGATGATGCATCCTATGGGACGTTATTGTAGTGCGGACTTTTCTATCCAGGGCGTTAAGTTCAGTCTGACTCCACCTGAGTATGCTAAAGGTATACATGAGGACAGGCATAACCCAACCGTTATATGCACGTGTCTTATTCACACCTGACAAAAGGCTGTTAAGCACTTTGGTCAAGCGTGCAAAAAACACGTCGCAAACTGACTGTTTCATACCAGCCTCATCGATACCGATATTCTGTGACATACCCAGGTATCGGTATGTTTCGATCTCGGAAAGGGCCCTTAAGTTGACGGGCATAGATAAGTCTATGCCCTCAGAGTTAGCAACCCTTCCCCTTTCAACATGGCGGTCCGCACACGTATCCGTCCCCAGCTCCATTCTAATAGAATTGCTAAATTCACAAGTGATGTTTAGCAATTCCATAAGATGGGAGCGACTGGAGGCGAATAATTTGAGATCGTCCATATAGAAAAGGTGGGTCACTTTTGTACCTCCTTTCCGAAGCTGAAATCCCCTCCCGGAGCCCTCCAGTAAAGTACTGAGAGGGTTCAAAGAGAGGCAGAACCAGATTGGACTCAGACAGTCGCCCTGGAATATACCCCTTCTTATCCTTATGCGGCTTTCCGCAGCCGTCATCCGCTCGCCTAGATAACAGAGGAGTGTACTACACTGCCTCATACACTGCCCGAGGAAGTCTCGAACTGTACAGTCAATCTTGTACAGCTCGAGGACCCTCTTTAGCCATGTATGGGGCACCGAGTCAAATGCCTTTCTGTAATCTATCCAGGCGGCGGAGAAGTTCCGACGGTTGCGTTTCACCACTTTGCCAATGACCGCGTCAATGAGGAGTGGTTCCTTGGTTCCACGACCGCCGCCCCGACATCCATTTTGAGCGCGCGACATCACCTGATTTGAGTCCAGGTGACGAGTGATTCTGGCGCTTAAAATGGATGTTAGTGTCTTGTATATAGTCGGTAGATACGTGATGGGGCGATATTTGCTCGGGTCGTGGCACCCTGATCTTTAGGAACCAAATGAGTGATCCCAGTAGTGAAGAGGCTTGGGAGCGACTTCTGGTTGAGAGCCTCTTGAAACTGTCGGGCGAGCACAGCGTGACACACCATGAACCCCTTCAGCCAGTAGTGATGCAGCCCGTCTAGCCCCGGACTATTCCAGTTCGGGGCCCTACGGACCGCCTCAGCTACGTCATCCGGCGTTATGATGACGTGGTCCATGGGCGTAATACCCGCACACTGACTCGCCACAACTTCCATCCAAGGGCCCTCGTTGTGGTTTACGGGCTCTGACCACAGGCTGCGCCAGAAAGCGACCGTGTCGGCCTGATTTGGTGCTGGGCCCGTCCCACTTACTGTTGGTCGCTCCAATGATTTATAGAGCCTCTTCTGATCACTCTGGAAGAGAACTGACTGACTTCTGGTTGAACCGTGTCGACCTCTCGGTATATCGCCGAATCCGCTTTCCCCAAGCAGCGATTCTTTGCTTCAGGTCTTCTATGCGCTCCGTCAATTTTTGCATTATATCCGGCTGGGACAAACTAACATTTGTCCCAGCAAACGCCATCCTGACGGTGCGCAAAATACTTGGCCTGGTATTGCCTGACCTGAAGCATATCAGTCTGCCGATGAGGGCCCTAGCCTTTGCGATACGTTCTTCAATTCTTATTCTCCAGGCTGGGATAGCACTACTTTGTCCAGTAGCGCGTCCAGCCGTGGAAAGTTTGGCGCCTATAATACGGCAGACTGCCAGTGTGGCGCCAAAAAGAATTGAGTCCGTCTCGCAAAGGTCCCGGCTGGCTTCCAAATAGGTAACCAACATTGGGTTCAGAGCCCTCACGACAGCCCGATTCCGCTTGCTTAGGGCTAAGCGGGGAAGTCCCGGTCGATTTTCGAGAGGCGTACTGCGCGTTTCCACAATCGCCTCTTCCAATGTACTCCTCATTTGCTCTAGCTCCAGTTCCTGGGCGACTGTTCCATCATCGTTTGAATCAACCACAACTGGCGTATTCACGGCGGCATCCACATTTGCCGTTTGCTCAGCAAGTTGTGGCATCCTCAGTCGCATCCTCAGTCGCAGCATTTTCACCCGACGAAGGAACAGCCTCACGTCGTAGCCGTTCGAGTTCGGTGACATCAAATATATTTGAGCGCAAGATATACCGAACTCGGTCTGCCAGGTTTTGCTCGGTGACATTTACAGATGGCTCCAGCTCAGCAAAAAGTCGATGCATCCTTGCCCGATACGCAAAACCTCCAGTTTCTCCCCCTTTCGCCCTAAAATACGCCCGCAATGCGTTGCTGTTCATCTGGGTTGTCCAACGCATGCGGCGTACTCCATCAGTGACGGGTGCCGATTGCTGGGCCCGTGAAGACCCTGCCGACACCAAGCCAGCTGGTGGGGATGATGGATGCGAGGGGCTGCTGGGTGGTCTTGCAGCACCTCGCGCTCGGCTGGCTGTTCGCATGCTGTCGCGTCCAGCGCCAGCTCCAGACGCGCCCTGGCGACCTCCAGGCAGCGGCCCTTTGCGCGTTCTATTTAATTCCATCATCCATTTTTAGGGCGTCATTTAGCGGGAGACGCCCAGACCCGGCACCGTTTCATGGTGAGGCCATGTGCACATGTGGGCCTTTGCACCTTCAATTTTTGCCGAGGCACGGCACTAACACCTCTTGGCAAGGTGCTGACTGACTGCGCTGACGTACCGGTTTTGTCACATAACCGTTACGTCAGTGGGCGATGGGGCCGTCACTTCCCTACGCCTTATTATTATTATTATTATTAATAAATTTTAACACCATTCGAAGTTTCCAGACAGAAACTTTCCTACAGTTCAATTCCAGGATTTCAGTAGCGGTTTGTGTGTGTGTTTGTGTGTGTGTGTGTGTTTGTGTGTGTGTGTGTGTGTGTGTGTGTGTGTGTGTGTGTGTGTGTGTGTGTGTGTGTGTGTGTGTGTGTGTGTGTGCGTGCGTGCGTGCGTGCATTCGTGCGTGCGTGCGTGCGTGCGTTCGTGCATGCGTTCGTGCTTGCGTGCGTGCGTGCGTGCGTGCGTGCGCGAGTGCGTGCGTGCGTGCGTGCTAAAGCCCAACTTCGACTGAGAGGTCAATTGGCGGACTTAACTTGGCTGAGTAGTGTTCGGGAGAATACATTTTTTTACGTGGTAAAGCCATGCTGCAGCTATATTGTGGATGCAGCACGAATGTGTCGGCTTGACTGGGGTAGGACCAAGCTGTCATAGAATACTAGTGTAAAATAGTAGCTTAATGCTGCTGTGTTTCGTATGATGAGTGTAGAGAACTGGAGATCCTTTTTATTAGAAATGAGGCATTCCATCTTAGTCATCAGGGGTGGCAACGCATCCGCAATTTGATTGAAAATTAGTATTAGACAGAAGTTTTTGTCAATCTATGTAGGCGGCTCCACATATTTACGAAAACTACGGTCCTGAGCCACTTGCATCTATTGACTACCTAACCACGTGTTTACTCAAGTCGTCACTCTACCATTTTCATTAAAAAAACTGCACTTGCCAATAACCATTTCATACTTCTGGGATGATGGTAAATATAACAGATTGATAACATAAACTAGGAACTATATTTCTAAAAATAAATGCCATGTTATTAATGATTGATATGGTAACGATTGTTGTGAGTAGATTTACGCGGCGCGCGATACAAAGACGTGAACCGAAAACCCTAAACTAAACTCATAATTTTATGGCATGAATAAAGTACTGATCGTACTATATATAGGTATAGGTACTTTGTATGTAAGCTTGCATCATACATTCCTTGGGGGCTGGTCTGCTTGGGTTAGCTATGCACTGGCTCCAAACTTTTAACGTCCTTTTCAATTACATTATAAAACATGCTTCAAATACAGTTGGGTTCATATGCAGAAATTGTTTTCCATTTTATCGTATTATTATTATTATATCGTACAGATGACTATTACGCCCTTATAAGAAAGAAAACAGCCTCGTTGCTTGGCAGGGTGCGAGCTAGCTCCAACTCCATCATGAAAGTAATTGCTGAAAGATACGACTCATTCCTCCTTAAGCAATATTACCGCCTATGTTTAGTTAATAAGGCGCTTGTATTTAAGAATTAGATTTAGGTTATAAGTTCCATATTTACTAACAAATTTTATGGATCACTTGGTTATCTGAAATAAAATTATTATTATTATATTATTATTATTATTATTATTATTGCTAATACTGTTTCTAAAAATAATGTTACTGATTTAAAACAACAAATTATTTCACTTTTTACGATGATAATTTAATATATTTTATCAACATTTCATTCCATTTCAGTCCCTTAGGTTCCATTTTTATTACAATAAAGTTAAAAGGGAGCTAAATGTCCTCCTAGTGTGTAATAGTTGGGAGCTACTGCAGCGTATCCATACCGGCAACCTTCTTCGGCAAAACATCAAACCTTTTAAAAAACAAGTGCGATGTCACTTCTGAGAATTACATAGCATCTTTGATGTTTTTTGAACATTACCCCCATGAGCTTTCTTCTGAATCATGGAGACTGTTTAAATACTTAAATTGCACACGGAAAAACATTCAGACTCGAAACAAATATCCGTAGGGCATACAAATACTTGTTCCGTGCGGGAGTCAAATCCGCGGCCGTCAACGCCGCATCTCGACACTAAACCACTGCGCCACAGAATTGTCGATACTGTAGACATAAAGATTGAATAGTTATATACGCTTTCGCAACTCCTTTAAATCGGAGCACATCAATTAATAGTATAGTTGTAGCAGGCATGGGTCGGCTCGACCGGGGAAGGACCACGCTCTCACAGAATAGCACCGTGAAATAGTAGCTTAATGCTGCTGTGTTTCGTATGGTGAGTGTAGAGAACCGGAGACCCTTTTTATTGGAGATGAGGCATTTCGTCTTAGTCCTCACAGGTGACAACGCATCTGCATTTTGATTTGTTCGAGGATAGATGTAGATGTCTATGGGCCGCAGTAACCTCTTACCATTATGTGGACTGTAAACTCGTTTATCACCCTATCCTTTAAAAAAATATACTGCTGAAAACTCATTTTATAGATAGCCCACAGGATAACATCTCACGGTTGTCGTAAAAGGCAACAGAGTGAAAACGAAACTTCATGCGCAGCAACATCTTTCTAGTTACAACTACAAATAATAAAACAAAAGAGCTGTTGCCAATCCAACGACGAAGCCTGGCTACTATGGCAAATATCCTCGAAGCAATTTATGAGCGAGGCCCTTGTTTGGTAATCGATTTTGTTAAGCCGTCATGGTGAATAAAAAATGTGTTTTTCTTCCGGCCATACGTCATTTTTTCCTGATATTAGGAGTCAAATCAAGTATTGGAATTCATCAAGTCAAATAAGATTCACATTAAATCGACCCTAATATTCATAAACTTTTAGAAAACCTTCAAACATTAAAATCTCATTAAAGTCACCACGATGTCAGATGCTATGCTATTAAGTAACCATTATTTAAATAAAATTATAACTTGCACTGCGTTAAAGTAGTCGGTCAGATACTAACTTAACGCATGATAACCATAAAGGTAAATGAAGAAAAATTATTGTTAACTTAATTTTTTTAATGTATTGTAAAATTAATGTATTTTAACTATGCTAAATATACAGTGTAAGTTCTAAAATATAAATAATGGTTAGCTGCTTTTATTTTCAACTATCCCAAATTGAATGTGATTTATGGGCAACGACGTTTTTGCTTACCGATCGACACTTACGATTATGTTCGTGCGCAGTAAGTCAGTAAAAATAATGCATTATAAGTTATCACGCATTTTGAATTTAAAAGATAAAAAGGACATAATGTTACAGATTTTGTTAATTATTTTTTCTTCACCATTTGCCTATATTTCTTATTCTAAACCTTCTCTGGAAATTTGGCTGGTTATTGCAAAATAACTCTTTTTTATAGGATAGGATGACAAACGAGCACACAGTCCACCTGATGGTAAGTGGTTGCTGTGGCCCATAGACATCTACATCTATCCTCGATTACGAATCAAAATGCAAATGCGTTGTCACCAAGTTGCCACAAGATGGAATGCCTCGTTTCCAGTAAAAAGGGTCTCCGGTTCTCTACACTCACTATACGAAACACAGTAGCATTAAGCTACTATTTGACACTGGTATTTTGTGAGAACATGGTCCATCCCCGGTCGAGCCGACCTATTCTTGCTACAACTATACTACTAATATAACTGCAGCATGGCTCTACCACGAGAGCAACGTGATAGTAATCTTATTGATATTCAAATTGCGATTTTCGGTTGAGACTTAATATAACCCTGTATATTTGTAAATACATTCCCTATTAATAAACACGCATTTAACACGCTTCATTTCATTTAATTGTATATATTTATAACAGTAATGATACCATTACTGTTATAACAATTGAGTTCCAACCCACTTCCGGACGCCTGAATAATCTGAAATTGTGCAGATAAATTAAGAGTTGAGAAAAATGCAATAATTTTATAACTATGACCTAGTATTCTTGCTTAGATCATTACAGCTAATTATCAATGCGTGTTGTTTCAGTTTTTTTTTAATCATAATATTATTCCTAGTTTGTTCAATATATTTAGCTGAATTCATACGAATGTAAGGAGGTAAGTATACTAGGTATGTAAGTTTTTTGTATGTACTTACGTTATACGATATCTTTATCTATTGTGAACAGATCTTGATGATTCTTTTTTATTACATAAGTTGTACCTTAGGGGCAGCCCCATTTAATAAATAATATTTACACAAAAGAAGGTTGGTAACGTTCTAAGGGCAACTATATCATTGTTAATCGGATCATAAACAATAATTCATAACCAAGTGCTTGACTGCTATGTCCGTGGATGATCCGGGGACAAAAATGTAATGCCTAAAAGACAGTTATCTGTGTCCTTAATCTTATTGCCAGAAGTAGTTAAGTGGGAATGTGTATAAGAAAATTGGGTAAGTGTATAAATATGGTAGCGCATAAACTACAGAGATATAAAAATTTATTTATTTATAGATAGATATATAGGTACTTTTTTATATAATATTATAACTTCTGAGATATTTTTGGAGCGTGTTTGCGGAGTTCAATGTTCTCGAGCTTTTCCTAATTACACGCAGAATTTCTGATAACGATATTTTGATTAACACGTGA